ATTTTAAAGTGGTTCAGATGCTTTAAGGAAGAGAATTCTACGTCCACTAATGTATATTAATGATAGCGACCTAGTCGCGGTCAGCGAAGTGACTTTACAAATGATTTTTCAAGTGAAAGAGAGAGAGTGTGTGTATATGCTCTTCTTTGAGAGATTAGCCAATCCCCTAAATGAGAAGAGAGCCCCCAATTTATAGTAAGATAGATTAAAGTTATCATTACTGAATCTGTGAGTTGGTGGGATTATCCGTGCAAATCCTTCTTTATGTCACATTACCCACCTTCTAGAGTGATTTACGCAATTTGCAACAAAGATTGGACACGTGAACGTCCTTTATCCTTTCCTCAATCTGGCGCACATCCACTGTGCTGACAGGAGTGTGCTATTCGCATCATTACGCAACGTGACTGCACCAGAATGTCAATGGGATCTTCCCGAGGCCTGATTATTCACGCTGGATGAGCGCCACGTCAGCCCTATTTTTTCTAGTCATAACAGTCAGATTATTTTCTAATTTCAGTTTTCCTACTTCTCTTTCTTCGATTAGTGTTAAACTTATTAAGAAAAACTACAACTATTAACGCTCACAAACACTACCAGTTTTAGCGTCAATTGAGCATAAAGGTTGCATAAATTCAATAATTGATTGAATTTGTTGATAGCTTGAGGCTACTAAAGAAAAAATGAATATCACAAATACATAAGCATTATTATTTTTATTAATACTAGACGTACAAACAAATCTTATAAAGGCTTGTGTACAAACTGATGGCATAAAATGAATAGAAGAATTAATATAAAATTCAAACTAATTATATTTATTTTTTCATTCATTTTATGTCACATCAATTTGTACATAAATATTTATAAGATTTATTTGTACATATAACATTACCTTATTATTTCATATAAATACATAAGATAATTTTTGTTTTTGATAATATATTATATATCGTAATGTTATATATCAAGTCAATTGAGTAGTCATATTTCTGGTGACCGATATTTTAATGAAAGTTAAACTATAATATGAAGTTTGCATAGATTCGTAACTTGTACTTTTGTATGGAGTTATTCTATACCATTATTCCAAAGGAGAATCCATTCTTTCTCATTCCATACGTCACTTAAATTATTTATGACAATTACATCTCCATCACATGCACGAGCTAGTTATCCTTTAGACATGTTGTATTACATATTCAATTTACTTCTCTAAAGTTAGTCTTGTCTCCTGCTTTCATTTTACTTTAAAATAAAAATGGAGTCTTAATATGCAGCTATCTAGAATAGCATTTCTTTATCATCATCTAATGTTTACACAAACTAACTTTCATGAAAATGGAAAAATTAAGGTAACTTTTGGATACAAGCTGGTTAAATTACGATAACTCTTTTTTAATGAAACGTAATGACTCGATAACATACAGTAAATTATTCCAAAATGGTATATTTTATTTTCCCCCGATGAGATCATTTAATTATAAACTCATCCATTTTGTTAGGAAAGTATTAAAAACACTCCTATCAAGCAGTTTTTATTAAAACTGGCAAAATGGGCAAGCCGAGTGGATACAGGCTAAGCCCAATGGGTATGGGTCCAACGATTATGGGCCTAAAAAGACTGATTCTAAACGGACACAATATTTTGGGACCATACCCTACCCTCTGCGGGTAAGGGTGGACCCACAGGAATCCATACCGTTCATTGCAATTTTCATTTTTGACAGTTACACCCCAACAATTTCTACACTTTTATTTGTTACAATCACACCCCCACAATCAACTCCTCCAAATTCAATTCAATTCAACATACAACCAACTCAATTTCTCATCAATTGAAAATGCACAAATATTCTAACACCACAAACCACTTACAAATACAAACACAGTAATACAAATACAAAAACATAACATAAATTTAACTTGGCATTGTTCAACTATAGAGACTGAGACTCCTCTATGTGCTTATGCCGTGAGAGTTGAGACTACTTGAACAAGATGAGTTGGAAATTAATTGCATTGGCTACTTTAGAATAAAATTTGTTTTCGTGTGCTAGTAAAAATGAGACATATTCAACATAGAATAATAACTTCAACATAGAATAATAAATTCGACATAGAATAATATTCGAGAAAAAGGAAATAAATTCAATATGTTGTTAGTAGCCACATAAGCTATGTATTCAAAATAAATACAACAATTGTGATTATTACATACCAACCCTATAAATTTAATGAGTTAATGAAATTTGTATGGAAACTTGATTGTCTTTAATATTTAGAAGGTTGTCAAAGTCAAGCAAATGATTGCTTTTCAAAATCGTATATTCCTATGCTCTTATTAATAACTCATACTCCTATTACATTACTTTAACTTCCCTCTATTTTGGAAATTTTAAATATTTATCACTTCTGATGCAAAATTTTGAAGTAATAACTTATCTAATCCCATAAAATTGATTCCCGCCTTATAAACATCTTCTTCTTGCTTTCCTGTTAAATCTAATAAAACGTTAATGATACAATAATACACATTCCCTTCCATTTGAAAACAGTTTGAACTGGATTTCTGCCATGTATGAACAGAAAATATGAACTCAACTAAAGGTAATTTCACACCAAATAACATTTAATCTCTAAGTCACAAAACACATTCCTGAAAACAAACAGGGCCTTGCAGAAAACAAACAAAAATAACAACCTTAGGAGCTAGAAAATATGTGGGATGTAATATCACAATTAAGTAAAAGGCTCTAATTCTAAAGGGATTTAAACCCTTTACCTCTTAGCTGAAACCAAAGGCTTTTACCACTAAATCCATCCCTTGGGGATAACAGAGCTTCCTAGTAATAGTATTGTAACATAAATTATAGGACGCTAAAAATTTCTAAACATTTTTATCTCAACGTAGAGCGAAACCGATATAATCTCATATATTGACAGAACCCATATGAAAAATAGAAATCTGGGTTAAGATTAAAAAACCCAACTCAATTAACTTGAAAATATCTCCAAATTGACCTGTTTGGGTTGCCATTATACTCAAAGATAAAAGAATTAATTTTCTATCAAAGCAAGAAACAATAATCCAACTAGAAAACTAAACCGAACCAATAAAACAAGTATTGTTCCCATAATAATAAATAAAAAAATCCCCCAAAAAAAAAAAAGAGAGAACAATATTCTATCTATTTAAGAAATCCAAGAACGTGCAGAAACTTACAGCAAAGAAATCAGAAGGATAAACTTGAAAGCAATCAGATCTCATAAATTGTTCAGAGAAAGCAGAGGACTTTTGTGTGTTACAGAGAAAATTTTCCGGTCGAGTGTTGCGAATGGAAGAGACGAGAGAGATTAATTTTTTTAATTTTAGGAATTAGGGATTTACTATTTAGATAATTTTTTTAATTTTACACAGGTATCCGCAGATATACCCGGCTCACCAAAAAAAAGACCGGGCGGATACGGGTAAAAAAAAAGGGTCCAAAATGATGACCCGTTTTGCCAACTGCAAAGTGTAGTTTTTTTATAATTACAGGGGTGTTTGATACTTGCAATAATACTATGCGTATTTACGAATGTACTAATCATCGTACTAAAGGTTGTAAATATAAAGCATAGTATAGGTACCATGCGTATAGTACGAGTACCAAATATAATTTTAACAAAGGTTAGTAAGATCCGTGAGTACGCACAGCATTACTCTTGATACTTATAGGGCGGCCTTTGATAATTACAGGGGTGTTTTTAATAATTTTTAAAAGAACTGGATGAGTTAGTACTAAACGATCTCACAATGGGAAAAATAAGATCAACCCTATTCCAAAATAACCTAAAGTTCAAAGTCAAGAAACCATAGTCACCCAGAAATGAAACTTGGTGCTAGCTAAACTTACAAAATTCCTAGTCATATTTAACCCAAGATTAATTAATTTATTCCACTGAAACATTTTTTAGCAACAACTAGAAAATAATTAAGTTCTTGCAATCAACCATTTCAACTCTAAAATACTCAATATATTTGACAATTGAATATATATATTAAAAACATTTAAAGACTTTACTCAAAAACGAAATATATAATGTAATTCCAAAAATAGTAAAAAATTAGTAAAGCAGCACACTCAGAAAAATATTAAATATCATTAAATTTAACTACCATGAATTTATTAAAAACTTCCAAAAGATTCAGCACTAACAAATATACTTAGACTAAACATTTGCTATAAAACATTCAATATATCTAAATAAAATTTAAACGCAATTTAACTAAATAATTTATAAAATCATTTGTTATGAAATTAAATTTTCTACTCACATCTTTGTCTTCTTCTCTCTCCATCTTTTCTTCCTTTGTCCTCTCTCTACGCCTTTTCTCTTCCTCTCATGTTCAAAATCAGTCTCCTTCATATAACAGGCACTTGGACATTTACTGAACCAAGGGCAACCGTTCGGGCGACAATAGTGCTGTTATACCTGAGAAATCAAGGGCTGACGTGGAGTCATGTGATGAAGCGTGACCTGCTCCCGTCAGAGTGGTAAGCGCACGTCAGGCCTGCCAAGCGCCGTGGGGCTTCCACGTGTCTATTTTCCTGCTCCAAATCGCGTGAAATCAGCTTGGAAAATGGGCAATGAGACGTAAAGCCAGATTATGTCCTGACAATCACACTAACTCATGGATTCAATGATGATTACATGCATTCAACTGGGTATAAAAAGGGGAAGACCCCTTCATTAAGGAGATTCGGTCATTTTTACATTTGAACTCTCTCTCTCTTGTGAATTGTATATTTACTTTCCCAATCACTTGTAAGTTAGTCCGCTTTTGCCACCTGACCCACCATATCAATACAAATCAGTGGACGTAGGACTTGCTACCTTAGCATCCGAACCACTTTAAAAGCTCTCATTGCATTTATTTCGTATTCTCTATCCATAATCACGTGTGCTTCTTGACCAATCAACGCTACGCACGTGTCGTTTAGTTGGTGTTAGAATCAAGCATCAACAAGTAAGAGCAACGCTCTGCGCAACGGTCCGAGCGGCTTCCTCCTCACGCTTTCCTTCGGGATTTGATATTGATCACTTAAGCCAAAATGTGCCATTAGAAGACGTACATGAGTGACCAACTCTCCGCCTTTAATAAGTTGTTGCCCATGCTCTTTCCACCCACCATGACTTGCAGAATATGCCAACATTTCTATCCATACTTCACTTACCATCTTCCAAACTTGTTCATGACTCCAACCATATTGTCCGGACTTCAATTTCTGCAATTGCTTGGCTAGTTTGCACCCGTAAAATAGCACAGATAGACTTCGACCCCCCTTAATATGCTCCTTACTATCTTCCAGTAGTGAACCATCAGTATTCACTTCAAGCAACATTTGGCAGGCCTCATTTCTTAAAATACTTTGCCGCTTCCTTTTTCTTCTGAAAAATCTCTTGGCCCCTCCACAAGTTTCCCTATACCTTATCTCACCAATCCCTTTAGGTAACATGGTTGGACATATGACTAAAAGATACAACATATAATCTGATAACCGCTTGCTTATTTTACAACCTATCGGAATTCTATTATCATCTGTATTGTCACCATAGTCAACATAATAAAGAATATCGGTAGCAATGTGCCAAAGAAGAATGCTATGATCAAATTCTACCTCAATTGTACTCCAGCCAAATTCATTAAAACAAGAGTTTTGGCGAAGCGCATAATCACCTCTCTGAGCCAACAATTCTTTGCATAGCTTGATATTAAAAAGACCACCTTCAATTTTCTTACTATTCTCTCGGACCTTCTCAAAAATCATTTCTTGTAGGTCGACATTCACATCCTCCCAAGTCAAATACTGGTATTTCTGTAATATTTCATTGATGCCAAATAACTTGCAAGCTCTAACAGTTTTGGATGAGATGTCTTTTAGACACAAACTTAATAGGTTGAACTGACCCATTGACTCTGACCACCTCTTCCTGTTGTTAAAAAGTAAACCATTGCAATTAAAATTATGCTCGGTCAACCAAAGTTTTGTCCTGTCAGATAACAGAAGCACGATGAATGCATAAAGGTCCAGAAAAACAGCACCAAGCAGGAGTACATAAGTTATGGAGATGTCAATTGGTGAATAGGCATGCTTATCGACAGCAAATAAGAAGACAAATGATACAGAAACATGGGAGAAGAAGCAGAAGCAACGAAGAAAGATTCCTAATCTGGAATAAATTGTGGTTGCCTTAGTGTAGAGCACATCATACATGAATCCAAACTCAACAGCCACCAATTTGAAGGCATCTTCTTGTGGCTTATTGTGAATGAAGGAGCTCCGTTTTGTGTCATGATGACTGAGAACAAAATCTGCAAAAAGACGCCTTAATGTCCAAAATAACATACTGGCCTCAACGAGATAATCATCCTTTGGCTTAATGCTTTCATCGTTTGATGTAGCTTCACTTGTCGTTAATTCCCGTCTTTGGCAACTCTCCTGCGACAATTAGTTCCACGATTTCATCATGATCTGGGCTGATTTCAATACCAGGTAAGCTCAAGGAATCTTTAAGTTGCTTGGCGCTTGAAGACCAGAACACCAAAGTTCTCTCTCCATACTTGAATACTCCAATGACAAATACTGGAATGGCTAGGAATATAGAAGTTGTATTGTTGTCCCAGTAGCATCGTACAAGAATATAAAGTGCTACCCCAACTTGGATCACAAATCCAAGTAAGTGCCTTAACCACAACTCATTGTCTTCTAAAGAGTAGGCTGTGATCGTATCTGGACCACCAAGGTGCAAGAGAAGGAATGGTGCCCAAAATGCCTGAAGTACATTGTTTGATTCCAAAGAATTATCTTCGGAATGTCCTTGGCTACGAGCAAGGATGCCAAGGGCAACTGTTGCCACCCAATCCGCAGTCAAGTATGCCAACCAAACAAGGACATTTATCCAAATTCTTCTTCTATATTTTCGCTGAGAACCAAACATAATGAGGATGATTTATAACAAAAGACTAAGTAAAACCATAAATCGAACTTCATATCCATTCCAATGTTGGATGACTTTTCTGGAAAAAGTTTGAGAGGCCATCAATCTTCACTTTCAAATCAAACTGCACGTAGGTGAAAATTTGTAATTAAAAAAAATAAAACAACGATGTTATTAACCTCAAGCAAATTAATAGTTATAAATAAGTTGTTACGATGTAATTATTTTTAATTAAAGTTAATTATTAGGCATACAAAAACAATTATTAGGTTATCAATTTTTGGTGTTAAAAGTTAATTGAGGAAAGGGCAAAATAGATCTTTTATGCCGAAACATATAATTATAAATTAAATATTTCAAAATAAGAAAACATATTTAGAAAAAATTAAAAATAAAATATATTTTTAAAACAATTTAAATTTTTTTTTCAAAAGAGTTGTCCAACGGTCAGAAATTGTTGAAACCACCCATATATATAATGTGTTATAACCGGCGTCGAAAATCTATATTATTATATAAAGTCTCGTTTTTTGTAAAAAATATAAGGTAATATTTGTTACTTAATAATCAATATTAATCTAAAAACACAATACATATTCAAGAAAAAAAAAAAAAAAACCAAATAAGTGAATTAATGAAAGCCAAATGACTACACATAGTACAAGAGATTACAAAACAATGTTAATAAATCATATAACATAAAGAGTGTGTTTGGTTCAAGGAATGTTGCATTACTAAAAATGTTATATTAATGAAAAGATATATTACTTTGAAGATTATTAGGAATGTTTAAAAAAATATGTTTGGTCGGTTTGAATAAATTGATGGGTATGTTATATTAATATGTTTGATTATGATGAATAAATTGGTGAGTATGTTATATAATTTATTAAATTGTCCTCCTTTTTAAATATTAATATATTTTTATTTTTATTATTATTATTTGAATAATTTCTTTTAACTCCCTAAATTTCAAATTTAGATAAAACACCCCAGTAACAAAAAAGTTTAAAACTTAACAAAAACACCCCACCCTAATAATCAAAGTGTGGCCGTGAAACAGCCACAATTTCACAGCCAGGTCTGTGGCCATTTTACAATCACATCTTTAGCCGTGGAATGCCAGATCTGGCTATTTCTAGTAGATTCATGGCCAGAAACAGCCTTAGCGGCGCACGACCGACCATATATGACCCCTCGTGTGCCATTCCTGTGTCATTGGAGATGGTTGCCGACAACTAGCGGTGGTGGCCAGATCCAACACCACCATTGGGTAATTTTTTTAAATTTCAGAGGTGTTTATGTCTTAAAAATTTTGTATATAACGATAAAATAGTCAATTGGTATATTTGTTAATTGTTTTTAAAACAAAGGTATTATTATTCTAAAATTTTATTAATAAGAGGTAAAATTATAACAAAAAAATAATATCTAACTAAGAAAATAGAAGTAATCAGATTACTTCGTATATAACCAATAATAATTACTATTAGTATTGAAAGATTATAAAAATCTTATATTACTTGACAACCAAACATAGTAATCAAATAATATATGATAACATTTCCCCAAAAATCTCATATAACCTCCAATCAAACACACCCAAAGGATAACTAGTATACACCCCCCAAAAGCTGAGGCAACTAGTTGACCCCAAGAACTTTAAAAACTACAATGAACATCCCCTCAACTTATTTTTAACTATTGATTTCAACTGTAATAAGATATATTCTTGAAAAAATAAAAATAAAAAAAATAAAAAAAACTCCTTAACTTGGCCCATTGAAAATTTTCTCTAATCCTAGATCGTGGTTATGATCTCATATTGTTGTGCCACGATTTGTCTAGATCGACATACTGATTTGGACAAAATGCGCTAATGCGATCTCTTCAAATTATGCTAGCAATCCATTTTTATCAATTTTTAAAGATTTTTTTCAAGTATTTTGAAAAAGAAAGTTTAATATTTAAATTTTTCTTAGATTTTTAAAAATGTTCTTCATCATTTATAAAATTTTCATAGAAAATTTTTTCGTACTCCTAATGGTTTTTTTTTTTTTTTTTTTTTTTGGTTTTACCAAAATGAAGAAATATGGCAATTGCAAATATTTAATCTAATAAATCTTAGGAGTATCAAAGAGTGTTTATGTCAATTACCATAACACAAAAGACTGACAATAAAAAGAGCACTAATTCAAACTAAAGAGAGATCCAATACAAGATGATAATAAAGATAAATGAATAAGAAGATAAAGTCCGTACCTGAAACCTGTGAAGCAAATGGAGCAGCTGGTTGATTTGTGAATTAACAAATGGTTGTCGATAGAGTCAATCTTTGGAGGATTAAATCATGTAAAAACGGAGTGTTATATATATATATATGTATGAAGAGAAGTGTGAATGAGATGATATTTAGAGATGGATCTTTCTTGTGTTAATAACTTCATTATATGATATCATCCCAAGCTCAAAGATGGAAGTAAAGAATCTATTATAGACATGCATTACACATATTATGTTTGTGATAAGATACATTTCGAAAGCAAGGTATATGATTTTTGGTTTATTTTTAATTTCTTTTTTCTCCTTTAGTTATCATTTGCTTGACTTAAACTCCATTCTAAAGCACCATTAAAGAAGCTAGCATGAGACATGTATTTATATTAAGAATGAAAGAATGTACGGCTCTATTATTCCTATGAACAAAGCGGAAAAAAATTGTACAATCTTCTAACTTGCTATGTAAAAAAACTTGTCAAAATTGAATAAGAAAATGTTCCTACGCTGCGAAACTTCACAAATTGAAATGAAACACAATGCCCATAATATCACCAAACTTCATGTAAACACAAGCAAAGCAGGCATCCACTTATCATTTTTCAACCCCACGCCTTACTTCTGCAACTTTTCCCTGCTTATGCAGCTGTTGCTGATCTGGGATTACGACCACACCCACGCCCACGTCCCCATCCCCTTCCACGACCACGCCCTGCAAAACCCCAAGTAAACATTTATTTTGATAGAATCAGTATCCGCAACAATGCAAGTGGACAAGCAAAACTCAAAAATAAGGAAGGATAATGCTCTTGGACACCAAGTCCGAAGACACAGTTCAATTGCTTAAGAAACAATGTTTTAAAGGCCTCATAAACATTACTGAACAATAACGATTTTTGGAGTAAGATACAACCTGGCTAAGTAGGTGCTGCTACATACAAGCACTAAATACTGATTATTTAGTGCCAACACAAGAAGAGATTAATGAAACCTGTTGCTTACTAAGGATTCCCCGTTCTTTATAGAACTGTTTAAAAATCAGAGGAACCTGTTTAAATTATATTATGCATTACTTTATACATATAACCAGGGCTCATACTAGATGAACTTTTGATTGTAACAAAAAGCAATTTCTTATCAACAGCCTTCTCTCTGACAAAATGAATATCTATCCTTATATGCTTCGTTCTGGCATGATGAACAAGATTAAAGGCCAAGGCTGCAGCACTTATATTATCACACCATAGAACTGGTACTTCTGAATGCAGATCAACTCCCAGTTCTTTATAAAGATGTTGTAACAAGACAATTTCAACTGTAGCATGTGCAAGAGCTTTGTACTCAAATTCTGCAGATGATCTAGCAACAACTAATTGTTTTTTAGAACTGCACTGGGCTAGATTACCACCAAGAAATATGGAAAAACCATTAGTTGACTTCCTATCACCCAAATTGATAGCCCAATCTGAGTCTGAATACCCTTTTACGATAAGAGGCACTGCAATCTTAAAATGCAACCGACAATGCATAGTTCCTTTGAGATATCTAATAAGCTTTTTACAGGTCTGCCAATGTGCAATAGTAGGAGCATGAAGGTAGTGACTTAGTTTATTTACAAAGAAGCTAATGTTAGGTCTTGTTGCAGTCAAATATTATAAGGCTCCTATAGTTCTCCTGTAGAGATTAGCATCTGAGAACAATTCAGTATCATGTAACGCTAACTTAGAATTTGATGTCATAGGAGTAGTGCTGATGTTTGCCTCTAAGGGATTAGTCTTTTTTCAAAGGTCTTTAATGTATTTAGCTTGAGTCTGATACAAACCAGACTCATCTCTGTAAGTTTCTATACCCAGAAAATAGTTCAAGGATCCCAATGTTTTGAGGGAAAACTGATTGTTAAGATCAGTAGTCAACTAAGAAATAAGCTTAGGATCACCTGTTATTATAACAATGTCATCAACATAGATGAGCAGATACAAAACATGATCAGAATTTTTGAAGAAAAATAGGCTTGTATCAAAAACTGAATGTTGAAATCCCCAGGTTACCAAGGCTGATTTGAGTTTATCAAACCAAGCTCGAGGAGCTTGCTTAAGTCCATATAAAGCTTTGGACAGCTTACACACATGAG